CCCACTCTGACAATTTCTCGCCCCTAACCGATCGACGCCCCAAACCCCGTGATACCGTTCTGGGGCCCTTCGCTGAGATGTCAGCCCTGTGCGAATCTCAATAACACGCGCATGTTCAGAGACAGAGACATCGGTTGGGGATATGACCTTAGCCCAGCGGCGGGGGCGCGCGAAAGCGTTGTCTGGCGCCGACGCCGCGGGCGCGCCTACCGGCACATTACCAACAGCGAAGGTTGTGGAAGAAGACGGAGGCGAGGCGAATCCAGCGGCGACTCCGAGGCCAACTGCTGGCGTTCCCACCGGCGCATGGGAAGAATCAAAGGCGGCGCCAGGAAACAGCCCAGTGGAAGCATCAGGCGCCTAGGCAATACGCGCGCCCCCAGGCGCGTGAGCGGGGGCGCGCGCGGGCGGCGGCGGCGGCGAGTCAGGAAAAAGCTCGCCAAGAGCGGCCGCGAGCGACGCGGAACTGCCTCCGCCCGAAAGGGGGGACATGGGCATCGCCCCCCCCGCGCGGTCGCCGCGCCTGCGCTCCGTCGAAGACGCCGCGCGCATGGAGGCACTGCGCCCCGAGGGGTGCACGGCCATACAGCGGGGCCTAAGACGAAGCGCGGCGCGGGACGAGCGCGAAAGAATTGGCCGATGACCTGTGCGTATACGCTAACGACAAAAGAGTCGAACCTATACGATAAGCCGCATTTAAAGGTGAGTGAGGAAGATGGTAGCTGATGCGTCTGTTTCCCAGGGGCGCTGCGCGGAGAGCAGCGCGGTATGCGCACGAGTACTTGAGCCGATACGTCAGCGGCATGTAACGATACAATGGTGATATGAGCGGACTTCAAACACAGCAGGGAAGAGAACCGCAAGCCCTGTTTCGTTCTTGACACGCCTTCTTAAATTCCCAAATCCCCATATGCGTTAATTCGGAGCGTTGGTCAACAACGAAGTCAAAGAGACGACCCACGGGGACCCATTTACCCAAAGCTCGTGCTTCAGGTATGAAGTCGTCGCAGTCACAAATGGAGTTGAAACGCCAACATCGCTGGGAGACGAAAGACTTCACCGCATCTGGCGTTACAAAGATCTATCGTTTGGTCAACTCTCCGGCGACGCGCGCATACTCAGCAGCCGCGGCGACAACGGGTGTTGCTAGAGATACGCCCACGATCACCCTGAGCTGAGCAGGCGGCCGCTGGCGGCACAACCGGCACAGCTGAGACAAACCGAGTAAGCTCCGAAACCTGCGCGTCGAAAAGGCAGGTTGAAGGCAAGGCATGATGATAGGGACGATGTGGTTGCAGCGGTCCGTCAAAGCGCTGAGCTGGGCAGACGGGGCCAGCGCCATGCTTCCCCGACGCTCCAGCAAGGTTTGGAACATCGTGATATAACTTGGTGGCCACATCACGAAGTATCACATGTCTCCCGGCATGCGAAATACCCTTGTTATTTCCACCCCGAATGTCTTGGTCTGGTAAACCTGGTCCGATATTGGTATCGGTAAAGGCGCGTCAGTGTAAGTGTTCCACTTGGGCCCGCTATCGTTGCTCGCGTGATGGCACGTAGCCTGAACATCGCGCCGTGTCCAAGATCGCAGGGCGGCGAGGCGACGCCGATCCCTAGACTTCAGGTGATATGCCCAGAAGTATCGGGCATCACGCCATTGTTTCTTGAACAACATACTCCATATCACACCATCCACGTTGCCTGGTCGAGCGGTAGTTTGGACACGTGCTTTCCCCAAGAGATTACCCATATCGGATTGAGCGCTCAAGATCGGGAAGAGGACTTCGCCTGTCCAATACTCGGACAATTCATGCGCGTCCCCGTCTGAGACACAATCCCACACATCCTGGATGAACCCTGCCACCTGGAAATTGAGCTCGCGCGCGCTAGGCGCTCACAGCCGAAGCTTCCAACAGGGACGAGAGGACGATCTTCGTCCGACCTACTCATTGTTCCAAAGAAGAGATCATCTTTCTTTGCCTAATCTGGAATTTAATAATAATAATAATAACAATAATAATAATAATATTTGTTCAAAAGAAAAAAAAAGACCCGAACCTCGCAGTCGCCAGGCACGATAACGTCAGCAGTTGGACCCTGCTGTTCTGGGCGTTCGAGCTTGGAATCAGCTCCGACCTCCCGCTGCGCATCCTCCTCTCCGAAAGGCGTGCCAGCCTCCTGCTCGACCCGAGCACCCGCATATTTGCTGCGGAGGAGGAGGAGCAGCAGCAGCAGGAGCAGGAGCAGGAGCAGCAGCAGCAACGGGAGGAGAAGGAGGGAGGAGGAAAGAGAGAGAAGGAGGAGGAGAAAGGAGGAACAAGGAGGAAGGGGACGGGAACGGAGGGGACGGGAACCGAGGGGAGGGGAGAGGAGGCAAGGGGCAGTGCATCTTCGGCATCATCATAACTGGAATTATGTGCACGTTCCCTTCATATCTGAAAGAGAAGGGGAGGGAGGGAGAGAGGGAGCAGGTGGACGATGAGGATGAAGAGGAGGAAGAGGAGGAGGAGGAGGAGGAGGAGGAGGAGGAAGAGGAGGAGGAGGAAGAGGAGGGCCACCGATGTCTCAGCCGGACGCCCTCTGATCCTCCTCCTCTCTTAGCATTAAAAGTGAAATGCTTGGCCTGGTTGGTACAATTGTCCCACCAGTTCTTTGGGTGCAGGTGGTCTAAAGGTGTTGGTTTCCTCTTCCAAAAAAAAATCTTCCCTTTTCGGGGAAGGGTTTACCCCTCCCCTTACCCCCCCGCTGGACCTGGACAAAGGGTTTCGCGAGCAGTTGGGGCGCCCGAAATGGCCCAAGATGGCCTCAAGAGGGCCTCAGGGAGCCCAAGATGGCCTCCAACATCGCTCAAGATAGCCAACGATGTTCCAAGACAGCTTCCGACATGCCTTCAGGAGGCCCCAAGAGGGCAACAGGACGGATCCAAGTGTTTTTGAAAACCCTTCGGGACCTCCCCGAAAAGCCAAAACCATTCAAAAACCCGAGGGGGATCAATAATGCGTGCCTTCTCGCCTCTTCGCTCCCGATGCGCTTTTGCAGCCTCAACATGGCCCCAGATGGCTCAAGAGAGCCCCAAGAGGAGCCCAAGAGGCCTCCAAGGCGGCCCCAAGAGCGCCCAAGATCGCCCACCGATGGGCCGCAGGAGCGCACCAAGAGGCGTGTTCGATGGCTCTTAGGGGGGACCTAGATAAGGGACCCCCCCTTGTGATCGATGGCCTACAGCATGGCCCCAAGAGGCTACCCGATGATCCCAGGAGGGCCCCAAGAGAGCGCCAAGAGGGTCCCAAGCGGGCCCCAAGATGACCTCCGAGAAAACTCAGATAGCCCAGGATAGCTCAAGATGGCTCCCACGATGTTCCAAACGGCCCCAAGACCGCTGCAAGAGCGCCCAAGAGCGCCCCAAGAGAGCCCCAAGAAGCGGTTCGCGAGCTCCTGAAGGGGGAGCTGAGTTGGGGGCCCCCCCATCCTGTAATCGATGGCCTCCAAGATGATCCCAAGAAGCCTCCCAGGGCTACCAAGAGGGCCTCAAGAGGGCCCCCACAACTCCCAGAGAGCACCAGCAGCAACAGCAGCCGCAAGAATACCTCTAAATGGTTCCATGAGTCCTCGTCCACGTCGTCCTCATCCTACTCGTCGTCCTCCTTGTCCTCGTCGTCATCCGCGCCCTCGCCCTCCCCTCCTCGTCCTCATCCTCCTCCTGCCCCTCCCCCCCCACTCCCCCTCTCCCCCACGCGGCCCCCAGGATGGCCCGAAGAGGCCTTCCAAGGCCACCCCCCTTGCTCCCAGAGGTCTCTCGGTTCACACTGGTCGCTCGCGTCGTGTCCGTCGGCGTGTCTCTTCGCCCCGTTTTCCGTCAGCTCTCATGGGCAGGGCTTCTGAATGAGCTGATGGGGATACTGTATCGTTCGCGAGCGTGCAGGGATGCCAGGCGCCGTCAAGAAACGCGGCAGACAAGCAACGGCCTAAATTCCGCGGCACGGAGGGGGGAACAAAAGCTAGCGGAACTTGAGGCGAAACAAGCGGAAGAAGAAGCGGAGGAAGAAGCGAATAAAAACACACAGGAGCGAGCTACGCTGCGGCTCAGGATACGGGGTGGGCCAGGAAGAACCACTGGTCGAGGTGCAGCACCAAAATGCGAAATTATGAAGTCCGCGTGCTCGATGACGGCCGTGATGCAACCGATGAGGACGTCGAACAACGACATGCAAGCGCTCAACGGAGCGGGGTCCGGATCGCCAAACGCCGACAGGGGTCAAAGCGAGATGCGTGAAGCGACGGCAGCGCCACCACGGGCGGGGGGACAGGGGGAAGGCAGCGACAGGGCGGCCCACGGACAGCAGAAGCGTGAATAAGTAATAGTCGCATCATTGTTCGCATTCGAATTACGATTGTTGTAAATATTTTCATTCGTTTCTTCATGTTGGTAATATGGGTGGTACTGGTTTTCGCAGTAGGATTCTTGGTATTCGTGGTATGTCAAGTACTGTTCGTAATAGTCGTCATATCGTCGTCTTATGGTATTAGTGGCCGCATTCTGAATGTTCGACTTCGACGTACTACTATGAATCGCAATGGTAGTAGTAATGTTAGTGCGAATCGCATTATTACGAGCGCGGACCTTAGTACTGATCTTAATCGCATGAGTATTACTAGTCACATTACCCCATTACCAATATCATACATACATCCATTACTGCGACTGCCATTACATCCATTACTATGGTTGATAGTTTTTCGATTACCCGTGCTATCCTTAATATTAGCAGTAGCCTTGTTGGTACTGTGATTTGTTTATGGTTGTGGTGCTGGTTACGGTCATGGCTGTTCCTCCTCATCTTCCTCATCCTCCCCCTACTTCTCCCACTCTTCCTCCTCCTCCTCCTCCTCCTCCTCCTTCTCCTCCTCCTCATCCTCCTCCTCCTCCTCCTCCTCCTCCTCCTCCTCCTCCTCCTTCCCTCCTCCTCCCTCCTCCACGCCCCGCCCCCCCCTCGGCGGGGCGCCGCAGGCCCCGCGAGCGGCGAGGGGAGCCCAGGTCCAGCGGCAGCCCGCTGCGCGGCGAGGCGGCCTCCCGGGCGCGGTGGCCCGCGGGCGGGCGGCCCAGCGAGAGGTAGGAAGGCACTAACTATACACCAACACCGATCCAGGCCAGGATCACCCTGGGCCCAGGATCGGTGTATACGCCCTCCTGCCTTGCGCAAGAAGGCATATACACCGATCCTGGGCCCAGGGTGATCCTGGGCCAGGATCGGTGTTGGTGTATAGTTGGTGCCCTCCGAAGAGGGGAAGCAGGAGGAAAATCGCACAGGTGACAGTCGAAGCCAGAATGGAGGAGGAGGAGGAGGAGGAGGAGAAGGAGGAGGGGGAGGAGGGAAGCGGAAGAGGTGTGGAGTGAGCTGGACCCCCCTCCTGGGGACGTCTTCGCTGGCCGAGGGTCCCTGGAGGAGTCCTCGGCCCCCTCCAGCGGCGGCTGACGCCATCACGACAGGGAATGAGGGGGGAGGAGAGAGGAGGAGTCAACGCTGGGGAGGGCGGCCAGGAGAGGATCGGATCGGATCGACTCGGCAGGAGGGAACGTCGAGAACGCCAGGACCCGGTGGGGCCCCCTGTGTAAGGGCCACGAGGTTGGAGCAAGACGCTCAAACCAATTTGGCTGTATTGATACGCCTCCCTGCCCAGCGGCAAACAAAACATCTCGGCCCCCAGTTGTGAGCTCACGTGATCCGGTTTGGCTGATCGAACGAGAACCCACACACACACTCCATTCCCCTCACCAATCCTCCTGCACCTCCCCGTCATCCTGATTGTTGGTGGCGGTGATTGCGCCCTCGGGCATCGCACCGTGCTTGCCGCGGGCAGAGGGGAAGATGGCGAGTGTTCAAGTGAGGGAACAATATTATGCGACGCGCCTCCTTTCTGCATCCAAGTCTCAGGCCCCCATGTGAGAGTCAGGGAGGCTGTTGCAAGCCTGAAAAGGGTCAGGCGAATGGGAGCGCCCACGACGTGGAGGCGTGGGTTAGCAAAACAGAAAACGATGAACCCAGCCCCTGAAGCAACAGTGCCTCAAGTCAAAGGAGGAGGAGGAGGAGGAGGAGCAGGAGCAGGAGCAGGAGGAGGAGGAGGGAGAGGAAGAGGAGGAAGAGGAAAACGGTGAGGAGGCAGGGCGGGGGTCGATCCACGACGAGAAAACCTGCGACGAGCCCTGTAAAGAATAACCTGATTCAAGGGGGGCGACCCGCGACAAGGAGATTAAGATCTCCGTAACATCTATATAATTCGCCGGCCCAACGGGCCAGAGGCGTGCTAAGATCTCCGGCAACTGCTAAATCCGCCGACCCCTTGTGGGTCTCTAGGCGTGTGAGATAGTTCCCCCCCCTATAGTCCCCCCCCAGGGACCCCAAACCGGCGATTTGACCCCCCCCCCCCGGGCCCGGGACGAGCGCCTCAGGCCCGGGACGAGCGCCCCCCCCGGGCCCGGGACGAGCGCCGCCGGGCCCGGGACGAGCGCCGCCGGGGCTTTGCCGGGTTCCAGGAAGCCTCAAGACGGGCCAAGATGGCCCCAAGAGGCGTTCAAAACGGCCCACGGGAGCTCCGAGACGCCAAACGAGCGCTCCAAGACGCCCAAGATGGCTCCAAGACGGGCTAAGAAGCCTCCAAGACGGCCCAAGAGGTCCCCAAGAAACCCCAAGACGCCTCCAAGATGCGTCCCACGAGGGTCCCTAGACGCAAAAATTGGCCCATTCCCCACGTAAAACGTACATTTTTCACGAATTCGCTTTTTTGGTTTTTCCGACGCTCCCAGACGGCCCCAGACGGCCCAAGAGGCCCTAAATACCGCCCCAAGACGGTCCAAGCAGCCTCCAGGGAAGCTCCAAGGCAGCCCAACAGAGCCCCAAGACAGCCCAAGAGGCGCCCAAGATTGCCCAAGAGGGCCCCGAAGACGGCCCCAAGAGCGCTCCAGGAGCGCTTCAAGTTGCCTCCAAGAGAGCTCAATATGGTCACAGACGGTCGAAGAGCGATCAAAGACACCGACGATCGCCTCCAGACGGCCCAGGACGGCCCCAAGAGGCCCCAAGAGGCCTCCAAGATGCGTCCCAGGAGGGCCCCTCGGCGCAAAAATTGGCCCGTTCCCTTCGTGAAACGTACTTTTTTCCACAAAGTTGCCTTTTCAGCTTTCCGACGCTCCCAGATGGCCCTGGAGGCCTCCAATACAGCCCCAAGGTAGCCCAGAGGCGTTCGAGCCGGGGTCATCCGAGCTCCGGTGGATCCCGGCTCGAACGCCGCCGGGGGGAGCAAAGGGCCCGAAAACGAACCAAGAGCGCACCAGAGCCCCCCCCCCCCGGGCCCGGGACGAGCGCCGCCGGGCCCGGGACGAGCGCCGCCGGGGCTTTGCCGGGTTCCGGGAAGCCTCAAGACGGGCCAAGATGGCCCCAAGAGGCGTTCAAGACGGCCCACGGGAGCTCCGAGACGCCATGCCTCTCAATCTTTTCTTCTGGCACTTGCCACTGCGCTGTAACGCCTGGCAGCTACGAGCAGTGAAGGCGGAAACGCGGCGATAGCCGCCGGTACGAATCAAGGGGTCGGCGGATGTGGCGTGAGCCTGGAGAATAATACTTCTACTTCGCGCGCGCGGGGCGGCCCCTGGGGGTCCCCGGACGAAAAGTACCCCGGGCGATCCCCGGCAGGGTCGGGTCAGAGATGTTTTTTTCCTTCTGGGCGCCGCCTCCGTGGCCCTCCAGAGAGCCCTAAGAAGGGCCACGAGGCCGCCAAGAGCCCTCCAAGATAGTTCAAGAGTGCTCCGAGATGCCACACGATCGTTCCAAGACGCCCAAGATGGCCCCCAGACGCCCCAAGAGGCCTCCAAGAGCACTCCCCAGAGGGCCCCAAGAGGCAAAATTCCTTACTATTCCTTAGGTTTTGGGCAGATTTGGGCGTGTCCATCTTTTCGGCTTCCCGACGCCCCAAGACGGCCCAAGAGGCCCCCCAGATCGCCCCAAGAGGGCCCAAGAAGCTCCCAAGAAGGCCCCAAGATGGCCCAAGAGGGCTCCAAGACGGCCCCAGAGGCATCCAAGACGGCCCAAGAGGGGCCCAAGAGGGCCCCAAGCGATGCCCCAAAGGGGGAACACAAAACAAAACTTCGAGCCCTCGGCCTTAAGAAGGCCCCAGGAGGCCTCAAGAGGCCCCTGAGAGGCCCCAAAAGCCCCCAAGAGGCCCTCAGGAGGCCCCCAAGCGACGCTGAAGAGGCCCCCCAGCGGCCCCAAGAGGCGCAGTCATGCGAAATGGGCCGGAGGAATGAGCGAAGCGATTCAATGTTTCTACTTCGCGCGCGCGGGGCGGCCCCTGGGGGTCCCCGGACCAAAAGTACCCCAGGCGCGGCCTGGGCGCGGCCCGGGAGACTCCCCCAGGGCTCTCAGGATCGCCCCAAGAGGGCCCCAAGAGGCCCCCAACACGGTCCAAGAGAAGCCCGAGACGCCCGAAGACCGCTCCACCACGCCCAAGCTGGCATCCAGACAGCCCAAGAGGCCTCCAAAATGGCCCTAGAGGCCTCCAAGATGCCTCAAGAGGCCTCCAGAAGCACTCCCAAGAGAACCCACAGAAGCAAAATTCATTGCTTTCCCTTCGGTTTTGGACAGATTTGGGCGTTTCCACCTTTTCGGCTTCTCGACGCCCCTAGACGGCTCAAGAGGCCCCCAAGATCGCCCCAAGAGGGCCCAAGAGGCCCCCAAGAGGGCCCCAAGACGGCCAAAGACGGCCCAAGACGGCTCCAAGACGGCCCAAGAAGCCCCCAAGACGGCCCAAGAAGGCTCCAATAATGCCTCAAGAGGGGCCCCAGAAAGGGAACACCAAACAAAATCTCGAACTCTCGGCCCTCAGAGGCCCCCAGGAAGCCCTGGCCGGTTCTTTCGACGTGTTCTGACCGGCTGACGGAAAACGGCCAAACTGGACATAACGGGCCACCACTGACAACGGCCAGGGGGCCCACTGACAACGGCCAGGGGGCCCACTGACAACGGCCAGGGGGGGTCACTGACAATGGCCAGGGGGCTCACTGACAACGGCCAGGGGGGTCACTGACAACGGCCAGGGGGGTCACTGACAACGGCCAGGGGGGCCACTGACAACGGCCACGGGGGGTCACTGACAACGGCTAGGGGGCCCACTGACAACGGCCAGGGGGGGTCACTGACAACGGCCAGGGGGGGTCACTGACAACGGCCAGGGGGGTCACTGACAACGGCCAGGGGGGTCACTGACAACGGCCAGGGGGGGTCACTGACAATGGCCAGGGGGCCCACTGGCGGCGCGGAAAGGAGGCGGACGAGGTGTGGCGCCCCTTCCGCCGCCATTCGCCATCCGTCGCCGTCTTCCCCATCCTTTCTCGCCTCCTCCTGCTGCACCTCCTCCTCATCATCACTCCTCCTCTTCCCCATCATCCTTGTCCTCCTCCTCCCGCATCCCGCGCCTTCTCGGTCCCCTCCTCATCGGCCCATCCCCCTTTTCCGTCTCTTCCTCTTCCTCCTCCTCCTCCTCCTCCTCCTCTTCCTCCTCCTCCTCCTCCCCCTCCTCCTCCTCCTCCTCTTCCTCCTCCTCCTCCTCCTTCTCCTCCTCGTCCTCCTCGTCCTCCTCGTCCTCCTCGTCCGCCTCCTCCTCCTCCTCCTCCTCCTCCTCCTCCTCCCCCTCGTCCTCCTCCTCTTTCCTGGGGACGCGGCGCCGCGCCGATCTCCCGCATACGCGGCGGCCGCGCCCCTAGCGAGCGCGCGATCGCCCGCCGGCTCGGCGGCGGAGGGGGGGGGGGGAGCGAGAAGGGGCGGCCCTGTTCTCGGGAGGCCCGACGGCCTCTGGCCTCATGATTCACGACATGTTTCCTGAGCTTCCTTCCTGGAAGGAAGCTCCGGAAACATGTCATGAGGCCTTCTGAACAGGTCCGCCCCATCTCGCTTCCTTGCTGGGCTCGCCGCCGAATGAATCCCACCAGCCCTGTGTAGGGCGACGGCGATTCCTCTTCCAACCCCCTTATTACCCTTCGGGGAGGGGCTTGCCCCTCCCGGCCCCTTACCCTTACCCCTT